CGAACATAGATGAGGGAATAAATAGCGACATAAGCAAATTTGCTGACACACCAACTATAGCCATCCAATTCATTTCTAATGAGTGAACATTAAGAGCACACCAGGATGATTTGAATTAGACCTGACGAATGTCGGAGAGAGTTGCAGATGAGTTTTAATATTGACAAATGCAAAGTTTCTAAATGTTGGACAGTAAAAAACCATGCAACATATAAACTAAATATGTAATCTTAATACTACCGATTGCATAAAGGATTTAGGATTTCTGGTTTACAGTAATCTAAAAACCAAGACAACGTGCATAAGGTTCGCAATAAACCCAAACAGAATTCTTGGCTTCATATCAAGAAGTATAAATAAAGAACCCAGTGTTCTTCACTCTATCTAACACTTGTTGAGGCCTCATTTAGACTATCTGCTCATTTTCTGGTCACCGTATTACAGAATGATATAAATTGCTCTGGAAAAACGTACAAAGAGGTAGACAAAGATGATCCCCATGTATCAGAATCTTCCCAATGAGGATAGACTGAGGCCCCCTGAATCTGCACTCTCTTGAAAGTTAGAAATAGGGACGATATGAATCGAGGTGAGTATTAAATGGTAACATGAATAATAAAGGGATGTAAATAGTGTGCTGAAAATTTCCAGCCAAGACAGGACTCACAACAATGTTTTCCCAAGTTGGAAAAATTCAGATTCAGGAAAGGATATAGGAAGCACTGTTTTGTAATAGAGTTTGTGGATGAGTGGACAAGCTCCCGAGTACAGCTATTGAGGTAAAACGTTGTGAAGTTTTAAAAATAGGTTAGATAAATACATGAGTGAGGTGTGGGGTGGGTGTGAGTTGGACTTGACTATTTTGAGCTGCTGGGCTTCGTTACAGTGCTCCATCCTTGAGTGGGGATGACCAGCTGGGTGGTCATTGGGATAATCGGGTGGTGGGTCATTGGTCTAATCCGGGGGGCCTGTACCTGCTCCGCATGGGTCCAGTATGCCTGTTTGCAGTTTCCCTCTTCTTATGTTATGTTCTACTGAATTTAGCCCCACCAGTGCAAAGTATGAAGATGGGGAAGGGCATAGATGACCAGAACAGAGTACAGGCTCTGGGAGCATACGCAGCAAACCTCAGCCAAGAGTAGGATCTTGAGGTGAAGTACTGCACCCCGCATATCACCTGAGGTGCACAATCAACAAATAACTGTTTCATTACCCATCCATATGGTAAATCCAAGGACTAGCTTACAGAACTCTAAAATAATAAGTCATTCATGAAACTGTAAACGATGTAATGTAAGGCATATAGTGGAGTATGCAGCACCAGTGTGGAACCCACAACTGGTGAAGTACACCAAGAAACTGGAGAAAGTGCACAGGTATGCAACAAGACAAGTCCCTGAGCTAAGGGGTATGTTCAATGAGGAAAGATTAGAAAATTCAAATTGATGACACTAGAGGAAAGATGAACTCTCTCTCTATTTGCATAAACATTAAATATAACCCACTTCTCACATCCACCTTTATTGTAATCAACATAAATCTTGAATTTATTGCAGTCCCAGCTGTCACACAGACTCCCTTTTTTACTTTTTTGTCAGCAACCTCCTCATTACACTCACTTTTATTATGCTTTCCTTTTAGAACTCCCCATTACCATTGTTAACTCTGTCTTTTGCACACTCCTAACCCCTCACTGATCTTCGACCTTCACATATTACTTCTCAGCACATCCTACCCTGCAGAGTTGTATGACCCCTTGCAGGTTTAGCATTAGGTTTTGATTATAATAATAATTATACTAATGCCTATTATTTAGCTCTAGTTCTAGCAGATATAGTCATTTTAATCCTGCCCGAAATGCTCCAGCAAGATAGTGGCTTTCTTTGTACTTCGCAAACCAAAATTGTAATTCCATATTGTAACCTTTACAAAGTAATAAATCTTATCGTTTTATCATTTACTTCCCCCACTGAAATTCTCTCACTCCCTCCCTCTCACTCTGACTTCAAGTTTAACATTCACAATCCCTTCTTTCTTATTGTTAGTATTATAGGGCAAGGAGGAATAACATCTTGTAGGAGTGAGGAAGAGCCAGTTGTGAGTGTGGGGGAAGTTCGTGAGGCAGTAGGTAAAATGAAAGGGGGTAAGGCAGCCAGGATTGATGGAATAAAGATAGAAATGTTAAAAGCAGGTGGGGATATAGTTTTGGAGTGGTTGGTGCAATTATTTAATAAATGTATGGAAGAGGGTAAGGTACCTAGGGATTGGCAGAGAGCATGCATAGTTCCTTTGTATAAAGGCAAAGGGGACAAAAGAGAGTGCAAAAAATTATAGGGGGGTAAGTCTGTTGAGCATACCTGGCAAAGTGTATGGTAGAGTTATTATGAAAGAATTAAGAGTAAGACAGAGAATAGGATAGCAGATGAACAAGGAGGCTTTAGGAAAGGTAGGGGTGTGGACCAGGTGTTTACAGTGAAACATGTAAGTGAACAGTACAGGGGACCCCCATTTAAACTATTTTTTCATTCCAAAAGTATTTCAGGTGCAGTACTGACCAAAATTTTTTCCCAAGGAATATTGGAAGTAGATTAGCCCTTTCAGACCCCAAACTCATGTACAAAGCACTTACATAAAACCCCTACATAAGGGTCGCTTTGGGGAGGTGATTTTTAACGGGGTCCACTGTTTTTAGAAAAGGTAAAGGGTTTTTTATGTTTTAGGTTTTGGCTTTTATACAGGTGGAAGGGGGCAAGGGGCAGATGTTGCAGTTAAAGGGGTGGAGATGGGTTACTGAAAGCAGGAAGAGTTTTTACAGGATAGGAGGCTCGAGTTAGCGTATGGGGAAAAAAGGGGGATTATTTCTCGTAAAAGTAGGCCTTAAAAAGGGAGGTGATGTCACCGTGGTTGTTTAAAATTTATAGATGGGGGAAAGAGAAGTAAATGGGGGGGGTTTTGGCAAGGGGGCGTGAGTTAAAAATAAAAATCGCCATAAAGGGGGTTTGTCACAGTTGCTTTTTGCTGATGACCTGTGGCCCCCGGGGAGATTCTGAAGAAGTTGCACAGGTTGTGATGAATTTTGGTAGGGTAGCAAAGAAAAAAAACAAAAAGTGAATACGGGAAGAGTAAGGTTAGGGGATAAAAAAAAAGTTGGGTATAAAATTTGGATAAAATTTGGAGGGAGAGAGAGGGGAGGAGGTAACGTATTTCAGATATTTGGGGAGGAGTTCAGCGGAGGGCAGGGAATGGGGTAAATCAAAAATTTGATGGGGGGAAAAGGGTGAGTGGGCCTTAGGAGTCTGTGGAGACAAAGAACTTTGCCCTTTGGAGCAAAGGGGGGAAATGTATAAGTAAATTTTAAAACCATGCTCTTTTTGGGTGTGAAGCAAGTTATAATGTTTCAGTGAGGGGAAGTGGGGCATGGAATGCAGTTTTAGGCAATGTTGGTGTGAATATAATCAAGTTTTGTAGTTTTGGGGAATTAGGAGGAGTGCGGGATTACCAAAACTGTTGTCCAGAGGGCTGAGGAAGGGTTGTTGAGGTGGTTCGGACATGTAGAGAGAATGGAGCGAAACAGAATGACTTCAAGAGTGTAACAGTCTGTAGTGGAAGGAAGGCGGGGTAGGGGTCGGCCTAGGAAAGGTTGGAGGGAGGGGGTAAAGGAGGTTTTGTGTGTGAGGGGCTTGGACTTCCAGCAGGCATGCGTGAGCGTGTTTGATAGGAGTGAATGGAGACAAATGGTTTTTAATACTTGACATGCTGTTGGAGTGTGAGCAAAGTAACATTTATGAAGGGGTTCAGGGAAACCGGCAGGCCGGACTTGAGTCCTGGAGATGGGAAGTATAGTGCTTGCACTCTGAAGGAGGGGTGTTAATGTTGCAGTTTAAAAACTGTAGTGTAAAGCACCCTTCTGGCAAGACAGTGATGGAGTGAATGATGGTGAAAGTTTTTCTTTTTTGGGCCACACTGCCTTGGTGGGAATCGGCCAGTGTGTTAATAAAAAAATAAATACCCACACACATACAAACAACCTAACTTGAAAATTTCTTTCTTATATGTCCATAATGTGTATTGTATGCACTCCAAGAATGTTAAAAAATAATGAATTCAATACCTAAACAAAAATTCATTATCATTTATTATAAATACAATAAAATAAATGACATTCAGATTAAATAGTTTTTTTACAGACTACTTTTATAAATTTTTATTTTGAATGCTTTAACCATAACTGTCATAAGTATACATTGGTAGTATTAATGTACATAGGTATTAATATAAAGAGGTACACACACAGGTAAGTAAGTTTATTCAGGTACAGGTACACTTAAATACTTACATAAATGATCATACATAGCAGCATGTGTGTAGATTACCTAGGATAACCCCAAAAAGTTAGAAAAAATTACTTATTTCCATTAGAGTTATTCATTAACACACTAGTGATAAGTTATGGAAATATGTTACTTTGTTTTGCTTTTTTGGGTTATCACAAGTAATTTACACATATGATAAACTATGAATGATAATTGTACTTAAGTGTACCTGTAACTAAATAAACTTATTTACTTACTGATAAGCCAATTAAGTCAGTGTGGCTTATTTCCATTGGGGTTTTCCACCAACTATAATGCTCTACATAACCAGGAGCTCTCTATAAACTATGTCAATAATATCACCTTTTCCGTACCAATTATAAATCATTATCTACAGAAATAGTTTATCATTTATCGTGTTATTATTTATATATGCTTAAGTGCTGTGAATTTCCACTATACCAGCAATTCAACTCCTGATGCAGTTCACACATAAATAACTCCACAGCTGTTATTAAACACTAATCTCCAACCTTTGGTACATATTTCCATTGAAATGAAGTTATTTTCTTGTGTAGACAAGTCAGGTGTCAAGCGGTGACTTCCGAACATCACATCTCTTACATCAGTAACTCCTTCTACCTCCTCTACACACCCATTATAACACTCTACGAAGTCTATACTAACGTCCTTGTAGAAGACATCAAACTTGTTGTCGCCTTCGCCCGAGACACCACCGGAATTCGAGCCGATGGGCTTGAACATAGGGGACGCCATCACACCTTGTTTACAGATTCTGGTTGAGGGAGCATCAGTGTAGTGACAACCCTAGCACAGGGACCACCTATATAACATTAGTAACTTATGTACCTACACTTCACATATGTACAATTATCATATGTGGTAACATGTATGTAAATTACCTAAAATAACCCCTCTAAAAAGCCAGTGACTTATTTCCACTGGAGTCCTTAGTTTTTTTTTTAGTTTAATTCTTCATTATGCACCCAATACCCATATACATGATTTGTTTGCATTTTTCATGTATATACATTCATCTTAACCTTAAATATACATTTCACAGCACATATAAAACTACGTACATAGACATTAACTAATATTTGACTCATCTTACATATATTTAATCAAAAGCGACACAGGACCCAAATCACATTTTTGGGGGTTATTAAGGTAATTT